AAACTCCGCTTTTTAGTCGTCTTAGGCCCTTGTTTTTTGACAAACAATGACCTTTCAGAGGTCAAATTGTTGTCAAGAATATGAATAGGCTGCTTCGCAGCAAATAAACAGCCCCATCACTCCTTCTGTCTGGCTCTGTTGTGAGTGATTGTGAATGCACTTTTTATTGTAAATGCTTGATAAGTAATTGTACTTATGATGGAATTTATATTTTCCCAGATTCACAAAAGGTCGCCTATTTCTATCTAGAGGTGGTACACTAATTTTAACCATAGCCTATTGGCTAACCTATATTTAATTGCTATTAATAATTCAAATTTTCACGGAGACAGAATGAAAATTGTTGACACTTTACAGGGATCTCATATGACATTAAATAATTTATCAATACTATTAATATATAACTTTATTTTAATCATAAAATAATAAGATCTACTGTATGTTAAATGTGCCATGGTTATGGAAAGTAGTCATGCCTATATGAAAATTTGGCTAGGATATAGTTTGACAAACTTTCAGAATAAAAAAAATATATACATATTATAAATAAAATGACTATTGTTTTTATTTTTATTGTTGATAATGTTGTGATTAAAATTGATATATTGTTGTTTAGATCTATTTATTTGTTGTGCAGGAATGAATATTCTGTGAATAGTTCGGCCAGATGGTCCCCACTGACTTCCGTCAATTAACAGAGGATATTACAACAGCCCTTTTGCTTAATTCGATGTTGAGTTATGAAACTTGAGACACTTAGCACCTGATGGAGAAGCACAAACTCATGTAGACCAAACCCAGTGCATTTCGATATTAATTGTACCGAAATATACTTATGATAATAAACAGTTAAATACAGTATGATCCTTCCTGTAATCTTTTGCATTGACCCTTAATTGACTGGTAATTAATATAGTAAATTGTTAATTAGTGAAAACTATTTTTTTTCCTGAAGCAGTTAATATATATATTTACGTACGGTACGGGACCGGAGGGCGTACGTAAATCGGGGGTTGTTCATCTCACTCAGTTCACGTGGTTTTAGATTATAACAAGCCGGTATTAGACTCAATCAAAGTTGCTGTTTAATGAAAATACGTTGCATTATGGTTTGTTTATTGTTATAGTCTTTTTACTTATGGTTGCTCAGAAAAGGGCCGTTTGTTTTGAATATTTTTAGGGTTTTTGATGACGTCATTGTCGATATGAGGCGTACGTAAGAACAAGGTTCTACTTTTGGTAAAACACTGAAAGATAAACAAATAAAGTTTGAAATGTGAAATCACTGTGGTTTGGATCATTTTTTGAGTTTTGTACCATGACAGTTACAATGTATTTTTATCCAAATACATGCAACTAAATCGTTTTTTCATTACTTGCAATGTCGCCTAGCCTCTTTTTTTTTTACAAATTAAACACTAGAATGATTAATTTATTGAAAAATAAATCTGATAGCTATGGAGATCAGAACAATTAAAATAATTGCACATTTTCTCCATGGCCCAACAGAATGCTATAAATTTTGTTTGTAAATTTGGAGTTGCATATTACCCACTGTAACTTAGAAATAATACAAGAAAAAAAAAATTGATACTAAAGGGTGAAATGTGTTGTGATTAATTTAAGATTAAAAATATAAATGTTTTGCAAAACAAATGGATGTCATGAAATTAAATAAATTAGGCCTCCTTGTTGGCAAACACACTGTACAATGTAACAATAATTGATTACTCATCAAAATGTTAATTAACAAAAACAAAAAATTGATATATTATTCATTGTTTAAATCTCGGAAATACAAGCTTATGCAAAGGATTGTCCATAGATACGATGATATTCAACAATTCGTACGTAGCAAATTTAGGTTCATAAATCTTAGCCAGATTGAAAAACTAAATATTTATATTGTTATTAATGTTATATTAACTACAACAATTACATTACTATATGTAGGCCTATTTCCAATCGATGTCTGCAATCCCTAACCTGAATGTGCTGAACCTGGCGAAAAAAGCACGAGTTTGGCTGTATAATATATAGATAATAATACTCTATTTACCGGCGTGAAGTTGGTTACTTTCTATGTGGCACACTTCTGTTCTGAAGGTGCGTCTAAATATTACCTCCATATTGGACAAATTGTGATTAGGGGCCTAGCACTAGTCGCGGTGCACAAGCTGAGCTGACCTGAATCCTCCTTATCATTAGTTGGGCCGAGGTGAAGCATAATTAGCATGTTTAATTTATGCCACGGTAATTAGCCAATCAGAATTCAAATTTGTTAAATACATCACCCACCACAAAATCGTGGTGGCTGCAATCGAAATTCTCGCTGTTTGCCCAGTCCCTAATCCAAGAAAAGTGTAATATGGAACGCTATTTTGTCAAAATCGATTTTCCCAGCTTTTTGACTGATTAAGACAAAGATTAGGGATGGGAACCCAGTCTAGGTATGCCATTCTCCTCAAAAGTCTGGTAACAGCGGTGTAACAAAAATGTTTGAGGTGTATTTGATGTTTTAAAGTATTTTTCATGTGAGTTTTTACACGTTAGTGTTCCTCAAAATGGCCCCACTTGGCCAGTGTATGAGGCAAAACGCTGGTAAATACCTTGGTCTGACTAGGTCACACTTCTCTCTTTGATGACATCTCTAGGCCCTATTCGGTTAAACACAATGTTACAACTCACCCTAAGGCATAAGCGCAGTTGAACATACCGGAGACCACCGAATGTGTTGAGATGTTGTCGGGCATACCATTGAACGCTGAAGTTTCAAGGTAGTCATGGAATGTCGCAGGTATTATACAACCCACTGCAATATTTATCAATACTATACCGATGCTCACACTTGCTATTGTGCTGTAAGGTCAAAGAGAAACTATTTATAAAAAGTTAAGCATGGTGGATATCGGCGCTATATATAAATGTTCTATTCTATTTTAAGTTAAGCTCGGTTTCCATAGAATCGCACACCAACAGTCGCCGACAGTCATTGGGAATGTTGAACCTGGTTCAACTTAGCCGATTGTGTTGCAAACAAATCAGGGTGCACTGCTAGCTGCCTTGACGCAATCGGGAAAGCACCCTGATTCGTCAGCAATGCAATTGGCAAAGTTGAACCAGGTTCAACCTTCCCGACATCTCTTGGGGACTGTCGCCGATAGGGTGAGCGATTCTATGGAAACCGAGCTTTAAGCAACTCCAGATCTTAACCATACGGTCATCTACCATTTAAAAGAACCTGGAATATCTCACTGAGGAATGTGTAGTGGAGCCCATGATCCAAGCACAAGATTCCCAGCACATGTGAGAAAACAGCCAATGATATTAATTTTCCGTGGGATGTCAAATTTATTAGATAGCCAGCCACTAATTGGAGATGTAATGCTGTATGCTGCACCCATCAAAAGGAATACCCATCCGACTTCAATTGGTGTTAAATCAAACTACAGAGATAAAATATTAACAACAATTACAACTAGACTTACTATGACTGTCTGTAAAATAGAACATTGGGCTTTTCCTTATTGCCCTAGTGAAAAGTGATGTTGAAATTACAAAATTTAAAAAAAATCATAAAATAAAAAATACATGAAAAACAAAAATGAAATCATACAAAAAAAAACATGAAAACCAAATTGTCGAGTCGGTGACACTCAAACTATGGCTGTATGGTAATAGCCAGGGTGATGTTGAAGAGTCCTTATGCAGAGTCAGTGCATTTTTAGTTTGTCTACCTTGCGTAATGTTATAAGTGCTGGATCCCCAGTTCATTATTTGTTTCAGGGAGGTTCTTTAAGTAAAGTAAATCCCATAGGGCTGGAGCTTATCCCCAGTTTCTGTAGTGTGAAGCAGATAAGAGTGTCATGCTCTCCCGGGGTGGGACGCTGGTCCACTGCAGATCACTCCCAGCAATTTGCTGGTACTCATTGATACGGCTAGGTAGACTAAAGCAATGTAGATAAAGTGCCTTGCTCAAGGACACAAGCGGAATGCACAGTAATGGACTGAAACCCGGCCCTTGAATTTCGGAAACCAAACCGTTTCCATTGCGCCAAAAACTGCCTCTTCCGTAAAGTAACGCCCGTATTCTTAAAACAAACTTTAGTTGAACTTCGAACTAGAACTTCATTTAGTCTTAGTTGCAACTTCAACTTCAATTTGTATTCACAAACAACATAGTCGAACTTCTAACTATGACTAAATCAAGTCCTAGTTGTAGTTAAGTTGCAACAACTACCTAACCAATGAAAAGAGCTAATTTTAATAGCGGACAAAATTTTAGATATCCGGTAACGCAGATGAATATTAATCTACCGTCTGTGTTCAAAACATATTTCCTTATAATTCATAATAGACCATTATTCGTCTAACTAATATTCCATAACAATAACTATATTAGTCGTTAACATCTAACGATATAGAATATGAACTCTCACTGAAAATTTGCTTCCTTTGGACTATAGTTGAGATCGACGAAGGGCGGTGCCGTCTTTGTTGTTGTTATGGTGAAGCTACGTGATAGCAACGCAAGGGGATTTTGTGCAAATTAGGAACTGTTGCATGTGGCTAGCAAAACATGTTAATTTCGCCTTTTGGAAGCTAAATGTAATATCCCTTTTTCTTGAACACACTGGAGATACAACAGATCTATTTATACAATCGTTTTTATTCACTTCACTTTATCGTAAGTTACAAAAAGCATGTTTTTAGTGGGGTAAATATTTCAAGTTGGCGATTTAATAAGACCCTTGGCTGACTAAAAAGGTGGTATAATTTTAGTCGAGGTTTGCCCGACATAGTGCTAGTCGAATTTAATTTTAAGAATACAAAATGACGTAATTTTGAAGTTTTATCTCGAACTACGACTAAAGTTTGTTTTAAGAATACCGGGATAAATCTTTGCCGAGCCACTAGGGCCCATAGGGCTGCAGCTTATCCCCAGATTGAAGTGTGAAGTGGATCAGAGTGTCATGCTCCCCCTGGGAGGTGCTATGCTAGCTTTTAAACAAAAACCAAAAAAAAAAACAAAAAAAAAACAACCAAACATTAAAAGTAAACATACCTTTTCTAATTCAGTGGATAGGGTTGGATCCAGGAACGTTAGTGTGGCTGCTCCAACAAAAGTTGTGAAAGTTCCAACCCAACTTCCAGGTAAGCTCATCAGCCACAGGTATGACCCACATTTTCTAAGTATATTTTCTACATTTAAAAACATATTTTAAAAAACTGAGTCAGCTATCTTTATTTTAAACACACATTGTTTTAAATATTTAAAATTTTTTTATTACAACAAAAGTTACATCATAATCAAGGTATAAATTTTGTGAATATAGCACACATACAGTATGTTTATCAAGTGCAAGAATATATTTATGAATGGATAAATAGATACAAAAGTAAGTACGCACTGCACTTGAAAATATCTTTTTAAGATCATCTGCAAACATCTGGCATAAAGCCTTCCTTAGAACAGCATGACAATGTAGGCCTACACTTTTGGGGGGGGGGGAATTTTAGAGTTAATTTGTCTTCTGAATTTCATTTGTGTCCTTTATTTTGTTGATCTATTTTTGGTAAAATTGCTTTAGTCTAAACACTCTCCTGAAATATGGTGCATTACAGTAATTTTAAAATACCACAGAAGAGAAATATACTATCATTAAACTTACCATCATCTTTTGGTAAAATATAGAATAGTGCTAATGAATGTATAAGCATGAAACAACCTAGTGTTGCGAATGGTAAAATATAGCCACCAGCCTACAAAAAAAGAAAGTAAAAGAATACCATGATCACTCGGTGTACCTGAGTTTAAACTAATTATCAAAATCAGAGCCGGATATCCATGTGAGACTTTACTTACATCATAAAGGATGCCACCTATGAATGGACCTATCATCATTCCAACTCCAACAAAAATTTCAAGAGTTCCCTGTTAAAAAAACACCAAAAAGAATTTACGGTGGAATAAAATCAATTGGAATTGTGTCTGTGGTTAGGATACCTATCTTCAAATTCCAAGAGCCTTGGTTCAATCTGTTGAAAACCTGACAACACCACTCTCTGGGTACATACAGAACATCAACAGTGTTTGAGTAATTGACTGAAAATGCAGCCATATATTATATGAACTTAAGCAAAATGCTATCAATGTGGTTCTTATCTTATCACTCTACTGAGCAATTAAACCAGTAATGACCTGTTACGCAGACATGGTGCAGGGAGATGTTTTTTTACATCTCACTGCATGGTGCATATCATTGGAAATATGTTGCAACATAACACACATAAATTTATCACCTAATGTAAGAATAGTAGCATGACACAAACTGGGCATGTTGCTTAATGTTCAATTTGTTTATGTTAGAATGTCAGATAAAAATTAGAAGAGGCAGAGGTTAATAAAGTGAATGAATAATGATTGATTCTCTTCTCTATAATTCAATTTACAGTAATATGGAAAAATTGTACATAATACACAAATTTAAAATGCTCCTACAGTACCATAACTTATGCCGGCTAATGCCAAAATAAATTCAGTTTGTAGAAGCGGTTGGAGCATCGGTTGTGGCTTGAACTCCCAACCTTGAGGTCAGGGTTTCGAAACCCTCGCTGTGCAAGTCGCTTGTGTCATTGGGCAAGGCACTTTATCTACGTTGTCTCTCTCCACCCAGGAGTATTAGGGGGTACGTGGTAGTTTCAAACACACGCACTGATTACAACTGCGACATTATGGAATTCTCCATGGGGCCTGAGTGTGTGCTCCATATGTGCTTGATCCAGTGACCGGGATAATAATGCTAAGCACATAGAGGTCTCTACAATATGCGTATATAAGTCAACAATTACGATTATTATTATTATCAGGCCTATTTCTTGTGCACATTGAAATAATTTATCCTGCAATTCAAAATTTCTTCCAATGGGATACTTTTGACTTACCAGTACTTGAGCAACTGAGTTGGGAAATTTATTTATTAATAATGACATGCCTGCGGTCACTACTGCAGCAGAACCTAAAGCCTCTAGCGATCGTGTCACTGCACAAAATACAACAAACTGTGTACCAGGCTGGAGATGATCTAAAAATCTAATGGTACAAGATTAGAACTTACACAATATATTTCATGTAATGTTCAACATGTGGCAAAGACAAGCCAAACCAAGTCACTCGTCGCAAATCCCGTTTCCGAGAAATCTATTTTATTGCACTAAACTAACCTTTGTATATCTATACACCATGCTTGCTGTTATTTTCCCCATTTTCAATGTTAGAACAACAGTTTTTTACGATTTGGTGATGGTTTCTGCCTAAGAAATGCCCGAAATTGTAAACTCCGAAGACTGAATTCTCAAATACTTTAAACAGCTGTATGTTGAAACTCCTGTAACTTCATAACGAAAAGTCGGATTTAAATGATTCGTTTACCATTTTATAGGTCTCGTTTTACTGTTTAATAACACGTTGCCTGCCATACCTTTTTTTAAGGTTCCTTCCTGTGTGCCAAAACAAGTTTACATGTACAAACATACTTTTTTGAAATTTTATCTAGTCACACAGTGACTATGCCAAGTGCAAGTTATCTCCTCTGCTTTTTGCATAGGTTGGTATATGTTCAGAGGACGCTCCACTTGTGCCGCCTGAGTGCACTACCAGCAATGCAACTCAACAAACATACATAGGTTATTTGTAAATTATCATCTAGGTGTATCTTCCCTGAACTGCCAGCTGTTGAGTTTGTGGTTCTACAACGTATAACAAAGGAGTAATAAACGCTAAAAAATGATAGCCGGATTTTGACGAGTATACTTAACCCTTTATTAATAACTAAAAATCAATTTTTGTGACAATTAAGTGACAGGTTTGGCTTGTCTTTGCCACATATGCAGCTATATTAAAATTAGAATAATCCAATCATTAAAATGCGCTAGTTGGTGTTCTATTATGCGCTTGATCCAATGACCGGGAGGTAATGCTTGTGAAGCGCTATAAAGTCTAACATAATTATACAATTATAATTATTATATTATAATTATTTTATCAAGGAACAGTACTGTATATTAATACAACACTGTGCATTTTGCTTGTGTCCTTAGGCAGGGCAGTAGTGGTGGCTCCAGCGGGGGAAGGCCCGTCGGACAAGCCTGGACCCTGTCGTCCAATCAAAATAACCTTATTTTGATTGCCAATTTCTAATATTGTGGTCTAAAAGCACATTTTGGACTATACTAAGCCATAAAACTCTCCTGTGAACCCTACCAAGATTTTTTTATTCCGGGCCGTCACTTCGACCAAGGTTCTAGTTGGCCCCTTGCTTCGGACCCCTCAGTCACGGATATGTCAGACCCCTTGTCGGCAAATTTCTGCCGCCACTGCTGCAAGACACTTTACCTATGATGGTTGCTCCCCACCCAAGAGTACAATACCTATGATGGTTGCTCCCCACCCAAGAGTACAATTGGTGTGCACCTGGTAGCTTTAAACACTTGTGTTCCATATGTGCTTCATCGAATGACATGCAGTAACAGTTTTGAAGCGCTTTCCCCCAAAAGAGGACGAAGACCTTTTACTTACATAGATATGATTGGTAGGGACACGCAACAACAGAAAGAACCTTCAAAGCCTAATGCCAGCCAAGGAATCCTGGCGTTGTGTGGTGAATTGGATCTCAGTTGCCACAAAATGATGATGATGATGTAAGTCTAACATTATTAGTGGAGTTTACAGCTTAGTAAACATTGTGGCCAAGCTTGACTTCTAATCCCAAGGTCCTGGGTTCAATAGAGGGATTTAGCTATGATTGTTTACAGGTGGGCACGTGGGTATAGGCCTACATGAAAAAATTTCAGTGCGATAGCATAGGAAAAGATAATGTTATGGTTGCGAAAAACAACCACCCACTGTTAACGTTAAATATAAATGGCTAGGAAAGGCAATACGATTGTTCAAAATAGTGTTTATTTACTTATCCCAGCGTTTTCCTTGGATTGTATGTTTGAAATTTAAATGATCCTTCATAAAACTTAACTGGCCCTTAACATCGCAGCATAGTTCGTGGGTCGAAGACCATCATGCATACCTAACTATGCCGTAGATGTGCAGGGGCCTAACTAACATTTGTCGAAAAATCTCAATGTTTGCGGCCAGTATCCCTTACAGCATTAGCAAAACATTAAGGCAAAATTTTTAAGATTAATTTCCAATCAACTTGGTATAGTTTCTCAGAATTTTCTTCCAATGGGATTTATTAATAATGACATGCCTGCGGTCACTACTGCAGCAGAACCTAAAGCCTCTAGCGATCGTGTCACCGCACAAATTTTCCGTAAAATATTTATGTTAAAATTACTTCTGTGTTCATTATAATTTTGTCTAAAGATCGATTAGTTCGACTATAAAGCTAAGTCAGCGTAAAACTGAAAAATACTCAGATTTTGGATTGATTTTTCGAATAGTTAACCCTAAAATGACTTAGTTTATTATAATCCTCAATCATTTATTAATTAATATCTGAATTAATATCTGTTAAAATTAGAATTAGCGAATTTTGGCCAATTTATGGAAATTGAAGTTGAAATATACTATACTTTTAAAGGTCATGTAAATGTTCCATTAAATTTGAAACTTTTTTTGGTGGAAAATATTAATATGTTTGATATTTTATGAGAGATAAATGTATCAGCTTCAAAATTAAAACGATTGCGCAGTCATAGTGATTGACTGTATGTAGTGCGCATCAAGAAAAGAAGGTGCTCTCCATTTCTCCATGTTCAATTTTTTGGTAAACAATGCCTGCTGAAAATTTGATGGCGGGGAACACATGGGACTTCAAAGGCATCGCGCAAACGTTCTTCACGCGCTGCGGCAGCTTTGATCTTGGTTCAATTGCATAGCGCTGCGTGCGCGTAGCTTTTTTGAGTGATCTCCTTCTCAATAATACCTCCATGTTTATATCCAACACCCAAGTTAGGTCACGTGACACCCATCGCTAAATCCCTCTATTCCTGTCACAGCAGGACTCCACTCCCTAAGCCTCATAAAGAGACTTCACTGCTAAAAGTATTACATTATTTCATATATTTAAAGAGGGCCCCTAAATATCAGCCGACCTTCTAGGATATGCTGGAAGGGTCACCCCCCCCCCCCATATAAATATGGTATAAAAAAAAAAAAAAAAATTGTAAATTTACCCAAATATGATATTACTTCCAGCTGTCACAAAGTAACCTGAAATGTATAAAAATCGGGCTCCAATAACTGGTAGCTGTAGACAGAAAGGAAACAAAAATATTTGGAATTTATTGACTAAATGAGATAAAAAAAAAATAGTTGTTGCTGATTTAGGGTAACAGATACTCAAAAAGTCTTTAAATTGATTGTTAAAGGTTACAGTATATTTATAATGCTGAGAATTTACAGTAGTAACCACTAAATTATTCAATTATTGTCATTTAACATTGCAAATTAAAGAACTTACAAATTTTCCATAGGTGAGTGATGCAAAGAATTGTACTATAGAGTAGATACTAAATATTAATCCAACTTGCGTAGGTGTCGCCTTCAATTTAGCAGCCTATGGATAGAACATTTGCAATATTATTATATACCACTGCGAGTACTAGACGGAATATAACTATAACTTATATCCCATACCTACTGTATACATAATAATATCTTTAAAATAAAAATTAAGCTAATTTTATGGCCATCCACTCACCTTTATAAAACCCTTGCACATCCTTAAAATTTTACCATGGGGAAAATATATTTACAGTTGAACTTGCCTAAGTTGAATCCAAAATGGCATTGAAAAACTGTTCCACTTGGAAATGATATAAACCTGAACATCTAAGCAACAATAATAAGTATAACAATGAAAACATGGATGTAAATACAATAATACAGTATAGTACCTCAGTGGGGAAGAATGGTGCTAATATGGACCATGACATGAACTGAAACATATTAGATAGAGCAATGCAGACAAACAGTATTATCTGCTCTTTATTATAAGGACGTTTTGTTTTCTGAACAACATTTTCACATTTGTCGGTGTCTCCTGCATTCTTTATATCCCCGTTAATTAGGGTGTTTGCCTCTGAGGATCCATAACTGCTACCTGACAATAAACGTTCTCTTGTTTCGTCTTCTTCATCTTCAAACATTTTGAGAGTAGTACTTGACGTTAACTGAATAAAAATAATGCAATCAATTTATAACTGACACAATTCATGTTGTAAAAACATGCATATTACAGAGCTTTCAATTTGCACGATGACGCAACGCTAGAATGGATTCACTCTTGCGTGACCATCTTACGTTCTCTGCACAACGTAGATTTGGTCAAATTGTGCCCTAGATATGGGACGAGAACTTAACGTTCTTGCATGCACATATGACTTTATGTAGACTGGGTTCCAGTCCCTAATCTTTGTCTTTAAATCTATTTTGACACCAATGGCGTTCCATATTACCTATTTGCTTGGCGTTTCATAGTATACTTTTTCTTGGATTAGGATAAAAGTTTCTCGATATATACCGTCGCTGGTGGCGCTCTCCAAAATTAACTAATACTAGGAAAACCTATAATTAGAGACTTGTGGCAAGTCTAGACTTTATGCGACGTCTTTACGTTCTAAGTTTTCCCGTCGTCGTACAATTGAAAGCTCTCTATTGTTAATGAACTACTGTACTCTGCCTATTATAGGTTAGACAAAAAAACTCATAGCCATAGCATTAAACAACAACATATGAACTACCTGCAGTTTTCATTGTCTGGAGATGTTTACATGCACGCTCCTTGTCAAACCTGACAATTAGGCCTAAATAAAAAGAGAGCATATGGTAGGTTAATATTTCATTCCAGAATTAATCTATTAAAAACAGCAATAAACATATTTCTCATTAACATTTTGACATTCATCCTTCTCAATATATAAGGCAAGACTTTTTAAATTTCTGTTTAGCAAACCGTATATCAATAATGATTTTAAATAATAACAAAATTTAATTTGGGCCAATTTGCGCACCTGCCATGTTTTGTGTTGAAAATTAATACATAGCAAACAAGTGTTAACGTAGGTGTTCATTTAAGTGTGATTTTATGATCTGAATCTTATTCTCTTTCCTTTGTTATGTGTGATTATATAAACTGAAAATTATTATAATCCACATTGCATATTGTATAAATTTTACGTAGGATTAATGAATCAACAAGCCTCAAACATGGCAAGCATGAAGAAAAAAAAGCCATGTAATATGTTGACTGCCAAGAGGGCTTTTCCAGCAAGCACAATACTGAATAATAATAATTATTAATTTATACTTTAAGCCAAGTGCAATGTGCAACGTGTAAACAGAATTTGTTAAATAATAGTACAAGTAGAACCTTGATTTTACGTACGGAAAAAAAATCGCGGACCGGAGGGCTTCCTAAATCGGGGGATCCGTAAAATAGAGGTTGGGTTAAATTTGTGGTAACATTTGACCTAATACGTATGTATGAACGAACGATGTTACCTAGCTAGGCTAGACCAAGCCTCTAGGCCTACGAATAAAACCATGTGTTTAGTGTTTTTATTCATCACTTTACAATGTCATAATAAAGTGTTCAAATAAAACCGTGTGTCTAGTGTATTAATTTATCACTTTATATCTTTTATTTAAAAAGAACATGAAAATATTGTAAGATTACCTATACGACAAAAGTATACAGTTAACTTGGGAATTCCCCTTCATGCCTATTTTAAACAACAGAGCTGTGGTGTTGTCTGGGCCTGTTGAGACAAACTAAACCCATGTGCGCTGCACTGGGCGAGCCAACCAATTAGCGTTCGTGTACGTGAAACAGCAACCATGTGCACTGCACTGGGCAAGCCAACCAATTAGCGTTCGTGTACGAAACTATGCCTACTCAGTTTCGTGTAGAAAATTAGACCAGACAACTGTTTCCATGGTTTGCCACACGAAGCTATGGAGGAAAGCAATTATTTTGAGCACCATCGGTAGTTGTCCATCTCACTCAGTTCACGTGGTTTTAGATTATAACAACCCAGTATTAGACTCAATCAACGTTGCTGTTTAATGAAAATATGTTGCATTATGGTTTGTTTATTGTTATAGTTTATTGTTATAGTCTTTTTACTTATGGTTACTCTGAAAAGGGCAGTTTGTTTTGAATATTTTCGGGGTTTTTGATGACGTCATCGTCGATACGAGGCGTACGTAAAACCGAGGGTTCGTATAACTGGGGTACGTAAAAACGAGGTTCTACTGTATACACATTGATGAAAAGAGTTTGTTTCCTTTTTTTTGTGTTACAATTTCCTGTTGCATCGCGCATTGTCATAAGGCATCACAGTACGTCACTACGGGAGGTGATCGCTTCACAAAAAAATCTCAATCTTTTTTGGTTTTCCCACTTGTAAGGTCTGCTAAAGAGGAATGAATTCGAAGAAAGGTTACCGCTTAAATATTGCTTGAATCAGAATTTGAAAGTACTGTAAATTTATTTGCAAGCTTTTCACCAACTACATAATGTTTATCAAAAGCATAACAATGATCTCCTGCTTAGTATCTATGGTATCAGGGGATATAGCACTAGATTTTCCTCTACCGAGAACATCATTGATAATTTTCCAGGTCTGCTGTTTTTAAATATTTTTTGTAAAGTAAATTTTTTTTGTTAATTGATTTAAGAATTCCTTTTGTAATCCATGGTTTTCTAATACGTTTATTTCTTCCTATGCTTTCGATGGAATTGTTTTGTCAATTATATTTGCAATATTGGAAATTATATCCAGTATTGTCATCAGAACAGCTATAAATAAAATTCCAGTTGATGACTGAAAGTTAATTTTTAAGTGAGTTCAAAGTATTTTCATTAATAAGTTTAACATTTGATTGCACATGTTCTTTTGATGGTACAGTATAATGATCTGTTTTTATATGTCAGGTAATAATGCCAGATTGTAATTTAAGAATTCCTTTTGTAATCCATGGTTTTCTAATACGTTTATTTCTTCCTATGCTTTCGATGGAATTGTTTTGTCAATTATATTTGCAATATTGGAAATTATATCCAGTATTGTCATCAGAACAGCTATAAATAAAATTCCAGTTGATGACTGAAAGTTAATTTTTAAGTGAGTTCAAAGTATTTTCATTAATAATTTAAACATTTGATTGCACATGTTCTTTTGATGGTACAGTACTGTTTTTATATGTCAGGTAATAATGCCAGATTGTAATGGTTCAAGGTGGAGCTCACTATTGTTGGCAAAAATATTGTCAGTAGTGGCTGCAGTAGTTGAACTGACACAAGTAGGGCTGGAAATTAGAGGTGTGAATGACAATGAATTAAAAGTGTTGATAAACATTTTGTTATGTGTTGTTTCATTGGAGATAACGATATTAAAATCTCGTAAAATGTAGCAACATTTATTTTTGTTGTATGGTATGGTATGAAGAACTTTTTCAAGTTTATCATAATGTGTTTTTATCATACTTTAAGTAGCAATATCAGAATTTTCTTTGAGGAATGCTCATATTTGTGTACATATTGATTTTAATGATCATTAGTAACTGCAATTTTAGGGTTTAGGGTTGGTTTGTATAATGTACATGATTACAATATGAACAGATAGGTAAACAGATGAAGAGCTATCCTCAAAACATTATTTCGATACTGGCAATATCATACTTTATGCTTTAGTGTTTATTAATCTGTTTTATACATTACCTTTTCAGCTATAGGTAAATGTATTCAAACAAATTTTATACCTGCATCGAAAAATATCTTTTTTATTTAATTTAAAATGTTTAACGATTAAGAAAATTATTTCACTCGCTTTGTATCAATGCTTTTACTTTGTCTTTAATTTAAATTTAAGGTTTAAGGTATTTACAACAAATGTACGGTATTTATGATTCTGTGCACCTATTTTTCGAGAGATCTGCGCTAAGTTGGATTAGTTTTTGATGTATTCCTGCAAAATAATTTATTGAAGTGGCAAAGTTAGTGTTAGAATTTATTAAGATCTGTAAACAGGTCAAAAAACGTACGCTAAGCCTTACTAAGCTCACCCAAATAATTACCCAGTCCTGACTGACTGGATCCACTGTTTACAGTGCTCACGCAAACATCTATAAAGTATATGGTACCGTAATTGATCATGGGAATCAACAACCTTGCATGGAAATTTTCTACTTACAGTCGTTGTCTTGACGATGGATTTTAAACGGGCAATAAGAAAACAATCAAATAACACTTACATGCGATATGAATATATCAATACCACACATTTTATTTGAATTTCTTCATATTATTCAAGTTTTTTTTTTGAAAAAAAAAATGAAAACATTTTAGGTTGCTGTTGATCATGGGAACCACCTTGTCTACAATCAAATAACACTCACTAAAGACCTATGATAGAAGGTATCAATGGTACATTTTATTGGAGATTTCTCAATATCATAAATTATTCAAGTTTTTTTCACAGAAAATAAAAGAAAAAAACACATTTAGTCTGCTATTGAATGATCAATCCTAATAAAATGTAATACAAGTACAGACCTGTCAAAGGTCTCACACTGGCTTGCTTGAGATTTCTTCTGGATTTGCTTGAGATTTGGGCAATTTTCGGGAAATTATGCACAAGGTCAGAAACCTTAAGGAAAATACAGTCAAGCATTGATATATAACAACACCTTTACAGTGAATACATTGATACAAAATGTACCACATTGATATCCCATTTAGTTTTCTTCAGTTTCTGCTGAGGCGGCGTCGAACTAGCACCGATAACCATGTTTGTACGGTACATGTTGTACTGTATGCTTGTTTTGAGAAAATAGCACATTAAAAAAATGTAATTTGGAGAAATCCTGGAATGCGTGAGAATATGTAGGCCTCACATGAGGATGCAAGTTCAAAGTTAAATGTGTGACATTCCTGCGAGATGCGCAAGACTTGACAGGTCTGCGAGTACTATGGTCCTTCTGGACAATCAACATCATACGTGCATTGGTCTATGGGTATGCCATTAACATTATGTCACCCCCAGCAAATAAAACGCAATCTGTATTGAAAAATTAAATTGTGTACTATATGCAAAACATTTAGATTTAATTTTAATTCAAGCTTACAGTTTACCACTTCTCATCTGGGCCGGCTACAGGTAAATAATAAATTACATTCTGTACTTGAAAATAAATAATACTGTACATGAAAGCAATACATTGTGCAGGCGAACAACACTTTGAATTAAGAAGTTTAACAAAGGCTTAAAATAGGCTACACCACAGCATAGAACGACCCCAAGCTGGTGTGTAGGCCTAGTGCCCATATTGCGTTCCATACAAATTCCGCGCGGCCGAAGTAGTCTTATCTGTATCTGTCAGCTACTGCACGACCACCGTCAATTAGGCTATAATGTGCAGATAACGCTGTCGCTGCAACTGGTTGCAAATTATATTTTTAGATGCGCAGTCTTAGTAAGCCAGTCAATGTCGATGCTATCAAGTTGGGACTTGAAGGTGGCCAATGTAGGGGCACGCCTAATGCCATCGGGGAGCAAATTCCATTCAGGGATGGTCCATGGATAGAGCGAATGAAGGTACTGTAGTTGTTTTTATTGGGCTGGACTCTTCTGTAAATAAAGTGACCTGAAGATTGCCTGATTTGTCTAGATAGAAGATTTGTCTGGAGTAGATGATCTATATTGCTAGGGATGAGTTTGTTTGTTTCTTTATAGAAGGTACAGAGACGCGCTTTAGTTCGTCTGGTCTCCAAGGACTTCCATTTATGTTGTTTCAGCATTTCAGATACACTGGATGTTCTGGCATATTCATGCAATACAAAACGGGCTGCTCGTCGCTGAATTTTGTTGATGTTTTCGATGTTACTTTTTTGGTGGGGATCCCATATGGTCTGACAATACTCTAAATGGGGGCGCACTAAGGTTTTGTATGCAATCTCTTTAGTTGATTTGTTACAGCTGGAAAGGTTCCGTTTCAGAAGACCAAGAATTCTGTTGGCCTTCGTTGTGATTTGATTGATATGTCTAGTCCAAGTAAGGTTAGATGCCAGTTCAACTGCTAGGTAGGGGTAATGATCGACTTCTTCGAGAAGACTTTCACCCATCCTATAACGGCTAATAGGCTTGATTTTATGGGTAACTCTCATTGAATAGCACTTGGAGTGGTTGAAACCCATTTGCCACTTAGTTTCCCAGTCACAAAGATGATTGACATCGTTTAGGAGAATTGTGGTATCTTCATGATTTTTTATTTCATGGTAAATTATGCAGTCGTCAGCAAACAACTTGACACTTGAAGAAAGACCGTCAGTTAGATCGTTAATATAGACCAAAAAAAGCAATGGCCCCAACACCGTTCCCTGTGGTAAACCGGACTCTACTGGAGAGCTCTGTGAGGACTCGCCGTCCACTACAACCTGTTGATGCTGCTTGGTGAGGAACGTCTCAATCCAGGAGTGTATGTTAATACAAATTCCCACATGATGGAGTTTAGCCATTAATCGGCGATAGGGAACGGTGTCGAAGGCCTTGCTGAAGTCCATGATTACAAGATCGCCCTGTCCTCGATTATCAAAGATTACTGTATATGAAGGTCGTTTACCAAAGCAGAAAGTTGAGTTTCGCAGGATCTACCCTTGCGGAAACCATGCTGTTGTTCAGCCAATATATTGTATTGTTATAATAATAATATTTAATAATATTTATTTGGCAAAAAGTATATAGGAGAAAAACATCATGAATTGCCCGGATAGGGAATGGGCGAAAGCCCGAACAATATTTGCTCCCTATCCTTCATATAAAATGAAATACACAAAAACAATCAGAACTAATCAGAAACATAAAATTAAATAAAATGCTTAATTAAATTATTCTTAAAACAGGAAACATAAACAGGGTTTTGAAGTAGAGGAGGTAGTTCTTCCCAGAGCCTGGGAAAAGACACGAAAGCAGAATTAAGAAAAATATTGCTTTTGGCTTTCCAGTGAATAAGCCTACCCTCACAACGCTCACTCTTATGAACAAACTCTGTTAATGTTGGGGGACACACATTATGAAGAACTTTGAAACAAGTCGGTGATATTTAAAAATATCTTCTATGCTTAATATGTCAAGCGTTTTCAGCCTATCTTCATAATGTGTGTCCCAGTCACCATCTTTTTTAAACATAATTATTCTGGTGGCTCTACGTTGGATGCTTTCAATTCTATTATTAGTTTTGTCACCTGGTGCCCACATTGCACAACAGTAAGTAATAATTGGAAGAATCAATGCTTTATAAAGATTTAACATTACAGCCCATGACATATTTTTACTACACTTATTAATAAAACCTAGTAATTGTGATGATTTAGAACAAATATAATTTACTTGTGTATAGCATGAAATATTTAACATAAAAATAACGCTAAAAAGAAAAGATTGACGTTTCGACTCCTTCATGGTGTCATTTTCAAGATCAAATGATGAAGTAAAAAATATACAGCAACTATAATCAATAGAAAAAGATAATCTACAATGTCAAAGTCCCTGTGTTAGATAAAAAGCTTTGCTTTGACAGAGTCACATTGTTTATTCAGACTGGGTTTTAATTGTCTAATAAATAGCATTTCATGAATGAGACAGTCAAATTTGTTCCTACATTTCTTTAAAATGCTGAAACATGACTCAATACTGCTTGGGCT